CTCCAGCCGCTGCCGTTGCTTCTCTATATTCAGCGAATGACTGCGGGGGCGTGTTCGATTACTCCTCGGGGCCTGAAGGAGAGGGCCCTTGGGCCGAAGAGCTCAACTTCTGCCCCGATTCCGCGCTCGGCGCCGCCTCGCACAGTTGCGCGTCCCGCGCCGTTGGGGTTCCGCGCGGCGGGGCGGGGGGGGGGCGCCCCGGCTGTCCTGCTGCGGTCTCGCCGTCGCGCGCCGCCGCGGCCCCCCGACCTGCGCTTGCGCCCGGGCCCTCGCCAGGGTCTCGCGGCGCAAGCGGGGGCTCCCGGGGGCGCCGGGGGGGGGCTGCTCAGCTGTGGACTCGCTGTCGGCGGGTAATCAGATTCAATTGTGGCGCCGATTGTCTCGAGCCCCTTGCCCCTGCTCTGCGCGGCCCCGTGGCCTTTGGGCTCGAGCCCCCCCTCGGCTTCAGCTGCGGGGTTTTATGTTTCGCGGGTCGCACCTGTTGAACGCGCTTTTGCTAGCCGCCATGACGTTCGGGCCCCTGCTGGGCCCCGTCGCGCCGAAGGGGCCCAGTTCTTTGCTCGACCAGCGCGGATGGCTGCCGAGACCAGAGTCACTGCACATCGCAATCAGATACGACATTGGCGGACGCAGCCGCGCGCCCTAGCGCGCGGGGTTCGCCGCCGTCGGAAGATGCAGAGCGGGGCCCGCCACGTCGCGAAGTACGTTCAAGCTTTTCCCCAGCATTTGGACGCGCTGCCCGAGCAGGCGCGCCGCGCGCCGTTGGTCGAGAAAGACAGCGCGTGGAACGAACGGGCGGGCTTTCTCACTGCGTCGATCGAGGGCGCCACGGAGGTTGATTTGAATCGTCGGCTCTTCGCGCGCCCCCGCCAGCCCGTCCAGAAACGGCGCCCAGGAGAGTTGAGGTGATCGGGGAAGCGGCGCGCTGGGGGGTGGGGGGGGGGGGGCGCGCGCGGGCGGGCGCGGGGGGGGGGGCGATCGAGGGAAGCCGTCGCGGCGCCCGCAGAGGGGGGGTGCGGCGGGGGAATCGCGGCCGCTGTCGCTGTCGCCGTCGCTGTCGCCGCCGCCGTCGTTTTCGTCGTCGTTCGGAGGAGGAGGATGAGGAGGAAGAGGAGGGAGGAGGGGGAGGAAAGGGGGGGGGGGGGAGAGGAGGAGAGGGAGGAGGATGGGGGAGGAGGAGGAGGAGGACGGGGCGGGGGAGGAGGAGGAGGAGGAGGAGGAGGATGGAGGAGGAGGAGGAGGAGGAGGAGGAGGAGGGGAGGAGGAGGAGGAGGCGGGGGAGGGGGAGGGGGGAGGTGGAGCGGGGCGGGGCAGGGCGAGGAGGACGAGAAGTGGGAGAAGGATGAGAAGAAGGGAGAGTTGGGTACCTCGAGGCCCCACTTGGGGCCTCGCGCGGGGTCCTTCGGGGGCCTCTTGGGGGCCTCTTGGGGCCGTTCGTCTGGGCGCCTCTCGGTGCGCTCTCGGGAGCTTCGGAGGCGCTCTCGGGGCCGTCCTGGATGGCGTGGATCGAAAAAATGGCGGGCCTTCACTCGCCCCCCCTTTCCCATTCCCCCCCAGCGCCCGCCCGCGCGCAGCGCCTTTCCCGCCCCGCCCGGCCCCTCCCGCGCCCCCCCCCGCTCGCACCCGCCCTCGCTCTCTCCCCCTTCCCCATCCCTTCCCCTTCAGGAGCGCCCTCCCGGCGCTATTGGGGCGCTATTGGGCGCCTTTGGGGCCGCTCTGGGGCTCTCTCGGGCCCCCCCCGGAGCCCGCCCGGGCCATCTTGGAGCCGTCTCGAGGCTTCGAAAGGCCATCGGAAGCGATAGGGCGAAATCAATGATCAGTGGTTCCCCTTGGGTTTAACCGATGTTGGCTTTTGGGGGGCCTCCATGGGTGCCTCGGAGGCGTCTTGGAGCCGCGTTGGAGAGTCCTGGAGGCCCCGGGCCGGCTCGGGGCATCTTGGGCTAGCTTGGGCCATCTTGGAGAGCGCCTCGGCCCCCCGGAGCCCCTGTCGGAGCCATCTCGGGCGAAGCAGCGCCCCCCGGCACCTCGCGGGGCGCCCCGTCCCGGCCCAGGAGGGGGGCGGAGGGTGGGGGGGGGGGGGGGGCGTTCCCCGACAAGGGAAGGGCGGGGCTGGAAGAGGAACCCCCTTAGACCACATGCGCCCAGAGGGCTGGCGGGGCCACTTTGGGTCGGCGGCGATGAAAGTCTGCAGATGGGCGTCGCCGGGCAGTGCAAAAATGGATTCGCTGTCAGTTGACGTGGAGGTTGGTCACGGATTATGCGACAGCCAGTCTTTCTATGTTTCAATCGAATGGTCATATTTGGTTAAAGGAGATTAAGAGATGAACTTTCTACCTCGGATTGTATATCTGGCGCTAGTGCAATGTGTCTCAGCGCGGCTTTTGAGTCAGCTCGGAGCCTCCTCGGCGCCTTTTCCAGTCGACGAGGGGCATCGCGCGGGGTCTGGGGCCCGGCGCCAGATTTGGAAGGGCGATGACGCATTTTTGCTCGAGCAAGTGGCCGCTGCGCACCCGCCAAGCAATCTCCGGTTCAGGTTCGACGACCTGTCGCTGCAAGCGCGAGGGTCGAGAGCTGCGGTGCGGACGCATTGGGGATTGCCAGAAGCATGCTGCCACGTCGGCCGCGGCGGGTCGCTATGCGGGAGCGGCCATGCGACGCCGAGTCACGTCGTGTCTAGATTTGCAAGGCGCCCAAGCTGCTGGCGCACACGATTTCTAGATTCATGGCGCGTTCGGGCCGGGGCGCAGTTGAAATCGAGGCGGCGAGCAGGTTTTTCACGCGCAGCCGTTGCGAGGGGCAGGTGCCTGACACCACTATTGGAGCAGCGGGTGCCTGGCCGAGATCCAGGGGGCAAGCTGCGGACTCGATGTTTGGATACGCAGCTGCATCTATTGCTTGATCAACCAGATATTCGCGCACGAGTTCGCCGCGCCTGGTCTTCGCTGGCACAGCGCGTTCGCGATGCGCCAGCGGAGTGCCGATCGAAGCAAGTTCGGGGCCCCGTGCCCGCGGTGATTGTATATTTGGTGGAGGCTGGTTGGGGAGTGCCGGAAGCTGCGGCGCGGGCCACCGCGGCTCCACACCCTGCTGCTGTCGACGGCTGGCACTTCGACGATCATGCGTTTTTGGGTATCGAGGCGGTCGACTCACATCAAGGCTTCCTCGGAGACTTCACCGGCAATGGCAGGAGGCGAGCCTGCACCGTTGCCGGGGCGGTCTCGGGAAAGGCGCGGACTGCGAGTCATATCGAGTTCTGCTGAAGCACTTGGAGGAAGTCCCTTCGCTGGGGCATCGCTCATCCGCAGCCGCGCTTGCGCGCGCGGCCGTCAGCGCATGGGCGCGCGAACGCGATCAGCAGGATATCCATCAGTTCCGCGGCTCAGTTACGCGCGGCCGATGTAAACGACGCCCCGAGACCGCGCTTCAAAGGCATTGGGCGCGCGATAAGAAGAAAGACAACCTCGCGCATGATCGCCCTGGCGAGTTGTTGCCACAAGCGGTGGCTCAGGCCTAGGCGGGCCCAGCGTTTTGGCTTCGAGGATTGTCGCCGCGCGATTGGGCCTTTGTTCCTCAGCCACCGCCAGTCGAGGAATGGGGAGTTGCAGGCAGGAGTGATAAGTGCGAGCCAAGGTTTTTAGGGGCAAGTACTGTACCCTTGAGGCCCCTCTCTATTTTTTTGGGGGATGCCACGGGAGGTGAAGACACTGCTAATAAGAAGTTCCGCGGGGTCGCTGTGGACATCCAGGCCGCGGCGCATGGACCTCTTGTAGGTTATCGCCAGGCTGTTCCTAAGGGTGAGTTGAGGGCTCCTGTGCTGGCCTGTTGGGCCACCCGTGGGGCGATTACCGATGGCTCTGGTTGCGAGCTGGTATCTTATGCAGTACTCTGCAGTCTAGAGTCTCTGGTACTGCAAGCCACATGAATGTTACGCATCGGCCGTGGTGGGCGAATTAGTCAAGAGGTGCTCTGACAAGATCGCCCCCACTCGAGCTGAATACCTCAGTCAGATCTCGATGGTCCTCATTCCCGAGGTTTTCAGTACAGCGGGGAAGCGCGCGCGTGACCACGTGTAATATCCGGAGTGCCGCGGGTGTTTCACTGTGGTAGACACTTGTAACACATCGCCTTGTAGTCTTACCCATATTCCTACTCCTCTTTCGTACCCACTTACTTTCATTGATTACTCAACCCTGTCGCGCCGCCAGACGTGTCGGTAGGATGGGCTTGGCGTTCGCGTAAGATTTCTTAACCACGTATGACTTTGAAATTTGAAATTGCGCAGGCCTTACGGCCGGTGCCGCCGACCCTGAAGGGAGACGACGACGACGACCATTCTTAATCACGTACGACTTTGAAATTCGAAGCTTGCAACAGGTTCAAGGATGGAAAGCGGGCCCTTCTCAAAACTTGGCTCTCGCACTGGCGCCGTGCAATTTGGTGCTGAAAGCTTGCAACCGGTTTACACTGGCCGTCCTCCTTCTCCCTCCTCCGTCTTCCCTCCTCCTCGTCCTCCTCCTCGTCCTCCCCCTCCTCGTCCTCCTCCTCCCTCCTTTCTCCTCCTCCTCCTCCTCCTCCTCCTTCCTCCTCCTCCTCCTGCTTCCTCCTCCTCCTCGTCCTCCTCCTCGTCCTCCTTCCTCCTCCTCCTCCTCTCCTCCTCCTCGTTTTCCTCCTCTTCCCCGTCCTCCTCTTTCTCCTCCTCCTCCTCCTCCTCCTCCTCCTCCTCTCCCCCCCTGGCTTTCGATTCCTTCCTTTTCCCCCTCGCGGAGGGGGAGGAGGAGGAGGAGGAGGAGGAACAGCAGGAGGAACAGGAGGAGCAAAAGGAGCAGGAGGAGCAGGAGGAGCAGGAGGAGCAGGACAAGCAGGAACAGGACTGGCAGGTGGAGGTCGGCGATGGCTGCGGCGACTGACGGCGACGGCGGCGGCGACGGCGACGACCTGCTCTGGCCCTCGAAGGGTCTCCAAGGGCGCCGCGGCGGGTCGCCGGGCGCCGCCCCACAGAGGCCCGCGCGGACGTGACGGCCGACGAGGGCTCGTACCCGCAGGCCCTTCGCCGCAGCCCAGGGGTGGACCTCAGCGGTGTTTTGGGGATGTCGTGGGCCGTCTTCATTTCGATGTTCTTCTGCGACGTTTTTTATGTTTGAAGACGAAGCGAGGGAAAGCGAAAACATAATGGCAACGGAAAACGCCGTTTAGGTTCAGCCCTGCCGCAGCCGCCGCCGTTGTCATGGCGGCGCGCACAGCGGGGTGGCGCGGGGGTGGGGGGGGGGCGGCCCCCTGGACGCTCTCGCATCGTGGCAGAAGTCGCGGCGCCAGTCGCGGCGCACGGCTTTTTGTGTTTTGTTTCGCGGGCCCATCAGGCTACAAAACCTCAGCTTTGACTCCTGGGTGGATTTCGAGAGGTCTCGGCGGAATAAGCGAGCCGCGTGTGCGCGAACAAAAAGTAGTTCTGAATCCTTAAGCGAATATGTAAGCTGCGCGTGCTTCGGAGTGGTCTTCGAATAACCTCGGGTAATGATGCTGGCGGGCCCCGCGTGCTTCCACGGTTGTTCTCGGACGACCCCAAGGCCGCCTTGAGACCGTGCAGGAACGGTTCCGGGTGGAACGTTTGTTCCGGGGAAGCGGTCCACACCTTCGGGGGGTCTGGAACACGACGTCGGGGGTCTGGGCTCGCAGGTACACGGAGGGCTTCCAAGAAGGCAGGGGTCTTCTTGGCAGAGCCCAGGAGCTTGTCATTGGGTTTCCTAGAGGCCATGCGGGCTTCTGAGGAACCCCCTTCCATTCTTGGAAACCCTGTAGGCCCGCTTGTGGGCCGTACCCTTCGAGCCGCCCTCCTCGTGCACACCGTCAACGTTTGCCGCCGTCGTAGCCGTCGCACCCCGAGGTTGCCCCGCGACGAGGGCCCGGGCTCGAGGATCAAGACGTCGCGGGGGGCTCCGCTGACCACCTCGCCGATCCTGGCCAAGCCGATCCTGGGCTCAGGGTGCGTGCCCTCGCCTCCCTGGCCGGGCTGGGAGGGCTTATACTTATCGGGGGATGGACAGAACCCCAACACTGACACGTCGATTAGTGAATTGTCCGTTTGGCTTGCGCCCGCCAGGTTTGGGCCTCAGGTCGTTTTCACTAAACCACGTTTTACTAAGGGGGGGTCTGTCCATCCCCGAACTTAAGTCGTGCATGTCCCTCGGCAAGGGGGACACTCAAAAATAGCCTGGGGACGATTTTTCTCATATGATTGATAATTTGTTGTGCATTTGATGCGTATGTTTTATTCTTCGTCCAAAAATCCGCCTGTAGGGGGACAGGCACGACCTGAGCCTACATTGCATACCGGTCTTGGGCCCGGGGTGGTCATCTGGCCAGGATCGGTGAGGTGGTCAGCCGGCGTCGCCGGAAGGGCCTCTGCACGTCTCCACGGCTCGGCTGTGAGGTTTCTACAGAAGATTCGCAAGAATTGGCTGGTGCGCCAAGGGGGGTGGAGGGAGGGGTGAGGGCTTCTTAGAAGGAGGCTGCTCCTCAGAAGGCGCCGGCCTTACGTTTATAAATCAGGCCCGCGCCTTCTCAGAAGCAGGGGTGCTTCTAAGAAGCCCCCCCCCCTCCCCCCCACCCCCCTCTGCGCGTGGCTGGAAGAAGGGAAGAAAGGGGGTCCGTCCCAGGCTCCCGAATCGGTGGCTTGATGGTCTCCCGTGCAGTCTCCCGTGTGGTCTCTGGGGGGATCTGCGGCCCCGGGAATGGTGGCCTGATGGTCTCACTTATGGTCTCCATCATGGCCTCCTCTATGATATCCCTCATGGCCTCCCGCACGGTCTCCCGCACGTGTGGCTGCACTGGGGGTGTCTTTCATGGTCTCTCTCGTGGCTTCCCTTGTGGTCTCCCTGATGGCTTCCTTTACGGTCCTTCTTGTGGTCTCTCTGATGGTCTCGCCTTCTGGTCTCCCCTACGGTTTCCCGTCTGAGGTCCCTTCTGGTCTCTCTGAGTCATCACCATGGTCTCCTGCATGACCATCCGTTTGATGTCCCGCATGGTCTCCCACATAGTTTCCCGCATGGCCTCCCTGATCGTCTCCCTTATTACCTCCCGTGTGACCCCCTGTATGGCTTCCGGTGTGGCTTCCGTTCAGTTTCCGCTCTTGTCTCTTGTATGACCTCCCATGTGGTCTCCCTTACTTCCAGTCTCTCTTTCCGACTGCCTCCCGAGTGAGGAAGGGCGGGAGGGAGGGAGAGAGGGAGGAGGAGGAGGAGGAGGAGGAGGAGGAGGAAGAGGAGGAGAAGGAGGAGGAAGCCATTATGCCACGCATGCCACCCCCTTCGTCCACGTCGAGCCAGAAGCGGACGGCGCTTTCCTACCAGGGATCCCTCCAGTACAGGATCGTTGGCGATATCAAGGGATAGAGCATGAACCCTGAGCGGAGCTCTCCCTGCTCCTCGTCGTTACTACCCCCCTCACCCCCTTCTCCTTTTCCTCCGCCTCCTCCGCCTCCTCCTCCTCCTCCTTTCCTCCTCCTCCTCCTCCTCTTGGGCCATCTCCTTGCCCTCTCCCACTCATCCATCCCCCCCCCGCCCACTTCCTCCCCTCCCCCTCCCCTTCTCATGCCTCGCCCCCCCTCCCGACAGCGACAAGGGATTGGGACCGTGACGAGCAGGCCGTGGCCGAACTGCGCGCCGCGCGCGCCGAGCGCGCCGGGCCCCCGGGCGGCGCGCCGGCGAGCCGGAGAGCGCACGGCGGGGGGGGGGCGCGGGCGACTGCCATCCATGCCCTAGGGCATGGGGCCGTCGCTGCGGCGCGGCGAGGATGAGGAGGGTAAGGAAAAGAAGAGGTAGGAGGAGAGAAAGAGGAGGGAGGAAGGACGAGAGGAGGAGGAGGAGGAGGAGGAGGAGGAGGAGGAGGAGGAGGAGGAGAGGAGGAGGAGGAGGCGGAGGAGGAGGAGGAGGAGGAGGAGGAGGAGGAGGAGGAGGAGGAGGAGGAAGGAGGAGGAGTGAGGAGGAGGAGGAGAGGAGGAGGAGGAGGAGGAGGAGGCGGAGGAGGAGGAGGAGGAGGAGGAGGAGGAGGGAGGAGGAGGAGGAGGAGGAGGAGGAGGAGGAGGAGGAGGAGGAGGAGGAGGAGGAGGCGGAGGGAGGAGGAGGAGGGAGGAGGAGGAGGAGGAGGAGGAGGAGGAGGAGGAGGAGGAGGGGGGAGGAGGAGGAGGAGGAGGAGGAGGAGGGTAGGGGGAGAGGAGGAGGAGGAGAGGAGGAGGCGGAGGAGGAGGAGGAGGAGGAGGAGGAGGAGGAGGAGGAGGAGGAGAGGAGAGGAGGAGGAGAAGGAGGAGGAGAGGAGGAGGAGGAGGAGGAGGAGGACGAGATCGAGGACCAGGACGAGGAGGACGAGGAGGACGAGGAGGACGAGGAGGAGGAGGAGGCACAGGAGGAGGAGGGGGAGGAGGAGGAGAGGGACCAGTGGAAACCCAAGACTCATCAGCGATGTTGGAATGCACCCTCCCTCCAAGCTCCCCCTTCACAGTCTCCTACACGGGTTTATTTCCACCGAGGGAAGTGCCCCGTTGAGGGGCAACGGTATGAGCATCCGAAAGCGTGCCAAAACACCATTCTCAGGACTTCAACGTCACGAATCAACCTGACTGTTGTGTCTTGACAATCGGGAACCGCGCCTTATCATCATTCCTGGGATATCAACACCGCGAATCAACGTAACTGTTGCGCCCTGACCATCTTGAATCGCCCCGCTCCAATACAATATTTGTGGCACGCTAGCCCCGAACATCAGCGACACTCGCGCAAATTTCTATATAACGAATGTTCGCGGCGCCGAGGCGAGAACCACATTTTGAAAAGGAGCCGCCCTCAATCTGCGAAGCTCTTGCAATATTTATAAAACGAAGGCGCGCGGCGTTAAGTCGAGAGCCACATGTTGAAAACCACCCGCCCTCAATACGTGAAGCTCTTGCATTTTTAAGACGAGCGTGCGCAGCGCCAATGCGAGAGCCACACTTTGAAAATGACGTCCTCAATTCGTGGAGCTTACGCACATGTTTGAAGCGAGTGTACGCGGCGCTTCAGCGAGAGCCACATTTTGAAAACCATCCGCCATGAATACACGAAGCTCTTGCACATTCTTGAGACGAGTTTGCGCGGCGTTAAGGCGAGAGGCACATGTTGAAAACCACCCGCCCTCAATCCGTGAAGCGCTTGCAAACGATTTAGAACGTATGCGTATGCGTGCGGCGCTAAGGTGGGAGCTATATTTTGGAAGCGGTCCGTCCTCCATGTGTGACATTGCTGCCAGTTGTTGAGTTTCTGGCTCAGAAGTGGTAAGGTCGTCTCAGACGAAACGCCCGGCCCGCCCTTCCGCTTGGCCTCGGGGTGCGACAGGGAGGAGATAAGGAAAAGTACTGGAGGAGGGGAGGGAGGGGGAGGATGAGGAGGGGAGGGAGGGGAGGGATGGAAGGGAGGGAAGGGAGGAGGAGGACGAGGAGGAGGAAAAGGAAAAGGAGGGGGAGGTGGAGAGGAGGAGGAGGAGGAGGACGAGGAGGGGAGAAGGGATGACGAGAGCAAACCCAAGGTGCAGCGGCGATGGTGCAAGACACCCTGCCAACTCCCCTCCCCATGCGTCCCTACAAGCTTTCTTTTTGACTCCATAAGCCCCCCACCCTCGGAAATACCAGCACCACATGGGCCCGCAATTTTGCAAGGGCCCCGCTCTGAAGATAAGTTGCCTTGATCAAGCTGGCGCGTAATCGCGCATGGAAAACTGTGATCAGGCAGTGCAGCGAGGTGTCTAGCGAGATGTCCGTTTCGACGATTGGTCGGCGTCACCCCAACATACTTATACTATGTGTGCGTCGTACCCCCAGGGGCGACGCGCGCACCGAGAAATCTCATAGTGTATGCGTCGTGGCGGGCGCTTTATGACCACACCGCTCGGCAAACGATATCCTTCAAGATGGGTATACTACATGTTCGGGTCGGACGCGCGCCTCCAAGGAGGACACCCAGTACTAGCCCAGACATGCGACGTCCTGATTTCTCGACGGCGTCCCCGGAAGTCCCGACCCCTTTCCCCAGGACCGGCTTTTCGTCCCGAGTCGTTTTTTGACGCCCCCCGGGCCCGGCCAGGGCCTCCCGGGGCCGAAACTAGCGAAACGCCCCCCGTCCTGATTCTTAGGCTTACGCCACACCGCCGACCCCTTGTTTATGCCAATCTGGGGGTAATAGAAGCTGCGAAGGGGTGAAAAGGCGAGTGATATTTGTTTGGTGTTTGTTCGCCGCCACCGCCAGAGGGTCTCGTGCAGTTCCGCGGGGGGGGTCCGAGCGGACGGCGACACCGCGGGCGGTCGTGGTCTCATCTGGGGCCATCTGAGAGGCATAATGGAGCCAGGTTGATCATCGAAAGGCGAAAGGAGCCAAGGTGGTGTGCGGAGGCTGCAAGGAACTCGGGTTCACAGCGCGCAGTTGCCAGGCGTATCAGTGCAGCGGCGCGTGCAAGAGAAGACTACCGAAGTCGGCGTTGTCCGGGAACCCTGCAGCGGGTGACAAGCTCTGTCGGGAATGCGCGGAGGCGCGAGAGGACGAGGTGCGGCGGGGCAATGCGGAGGCAGCGACTCGCACGCGGACGGCCGGGGCGGACGCGAAGCCGCTGACGTGCGCGGCGTGCGGAGGAGCGCTCTCGGACACGAAACATTTGAAGCAGGGACAAGTGGAAGATCATCGAAAGGCGAAAGGAACCAAAGTGGTGTGCAGAGGCTGCGAGAAACTCGGGTTCACAGCGCGCAGTTGCGTGGGATATCAGTGCAGCGGCGCGTGCAAGAGAAAACTGCCGAAGTCGGCGTTCCCTGACCCTCCCAATGTCGCGCGCGACGCAAAGAAGGGTACCCTGAAATGCAAGGCATGCAAACGATGACCAATCGGGCGGGGAGAGAAAGATGGGGGGCGAGGCGGAGGATGGGAGGGAGAAGAATCGAGGAGGAGGAGGAGGCGGAGGAAGAGGTTGAGGAGGATGAGGATGAGGTGGGGGAGGAAGACGAGGAGGGAGACGAGGAGGATGTGGAGGAGGATGAGGGATGAGGTGGAGTATGGGATAGAGGCTTCTTGTATGTGTATCGGGATCTCGCGGCACGCCTCTCGGGGGCCTATGGCAGGCAGTTTGGAACCACTTGGGGGCCCAGGTGGAGGAAAAGGAGGAGGAGGAGAAAGGGGACGCGGAGAAACGGCTCTGGGTTATGGGTTATGGGTGAGAGGCGTCTTGTATGTGTATCGGGATCTCGCGGTACGCCTCTCGGGGGCCTATGGCAGGCAGTTTGGAACCACTTGGGGGCCCAGGTGGAGGAAAAAGGAGGAGGAGGAGAAGGGGGACACGGAGAAACGGCTCTGGGTTATGGGTTATGGGTTAGAGGCGTCTTGTATGTGTATCGGGATCTCGCGGCACGCCTCTCGGGGGCCTATGGCAGGCAGTTTGGAACCACTTGGGGGCCCAGGTGGAGGAAAAGGAGGAGGAGGAGAAGGGGGACACGGAGAAACGGCTCTGGGTTATGGGTTATGGGTGAGAGGCTTCTTGTATGTGTATCGGGATCTCGCGGATCGCTTCTCGGGGGCCTCTGGAAGCGAGTTTTGGAGCCACTTGGGGGCCGTTTCGGAGCCTCTGGGGTGCTTCTTGGGGGTTCCTTGGGGCGTCTGGGCGGCCTCGTGAGGGCCTCTGGGGGCCTCTTGGGGCACTCTTGGGGCCCCCTGGGGCTCCTGGGGGCAGAAAGCTAGAGTTTCAACATGTTTGGTCGCCCTCTTGGGCCCCTCTTGGTGCCGTCTAGGAGCCCTCTTGGGCCGTCTTGGGGACCTCTTGGGCCGTGTTGGGGCCGTCTTGGGCCGTCTGGAGGCCGTCTTGGGGGCATCTTGGGCCATCTTGGGGCTGTCTTTGGGGCCTCTTTGGCCGTCTTGGAGCGTCGGGAAGCCGAAAAGGCGGAAAAGCAAAAAACATCGAAAAACACTATGGAAAATCAACAATTTTAGACTCTTGGGGCCCTCTTGGGAGGCTTGTTGGGGACCTCGGGGGCCGTCTTGGAGACCTCTTGGCCCGTCTTGGGGCCATCTTGGGCGTCTTGGAGCGGTCGTTTGGCGTCTCGGGGCCTTCGTGGGCCGTCTTGGAGGCCTCTTGGGGGCTTCTTGGCCCGTCTTGAGGCCCTCTTGGGCCCGGAAAAGCCCCGTGAACCGCTCGTCCCGGCCGTGAACCGCTCGTCCCGGCCGTGCTGCGCTCGTCCCGGACCCCCCCCCCCCTCCAAATCGACCGGACCGGGCTCCCGGGGGAGGGGTTTGGGGAGGGGGAAGCATCTCACACGCCGATGATCCCCAAGGGGTCGGCGGATTTTTTTTTTGGACGACGCGAGCACGTCTGGGCAGCACTGGCATGCCTTCGTGTGTTTCTGTGCGTCCCAGGGACCCAGACATCCGACGTTTCGATTTTTTCGAGACGCGGCCCCCGACCTCCCGACCACTTCCCTGGGACCGGTTTTTCATCCCGAGTCGTTTTTTGACGGCCCCGAGGCCCGGCGAGGGCCCCGAGAGGCCAAAAACGAGGAAGAGCCTCTGCCTCGATTTTTTCGAGACGCCCGATGTCTGGGGAGCTGCGCCCTGCCCGTGCGAGTGCTGCGCGCGCGCTCCGTGCGGGGTCGCGCGCACCCGCGGAGGCCTCGCCGGCCAGAGCTCTCCGTGCCCTGTGGGGAGCCGCCCTCGAGCCGTGC